GGGGAATGGCTGGGGGTGCTGACAACACAGCAGACAGTAGCAGGGATATCAGAGTATAGGGGCTCTAGTGGGGGGAGGGAGGTATGGGAGGGTGCCATCTGGGAAGTGGGTGTAAAAATAAATAAATAAATAAAACAATTCTTCAAAGCATAAAAGAAAAAGAATTCTGAGCTAGCTTTCACCACGTACTAAGGCCCAGTCTTGAAAAAGGGAATGAAAGAAAAGGAGAGAGGATAGGAGAGGGAGAAAGAAGAGGAAGTGGAGAGGGAAAGCGGGCAGGAGGGGAAGGAAGAGGGAGAAAGAGGAGGAAAGGGGGACAGGGAAAAGGGAGGAGAGGGAAGGGAAGGGAGAAGAAAGAGAAAGGGAGATGGGTCACAGGGTAAGGAGAGGAGAAGGGAAAAGGGAGGAGTGGGAGGAGAAAAGAGAGATATTTATTGAGCATCTATAGGGAAGGAGGAGCATAACAAGACTGGGCTGGGCCCTACTGTAAACATACTTCCTTGCTTTACAAACATGCCATGAGATACCCAAATAATGTTCAGCTCTTGGAGCTGGTACTGCCATAAAAATAAGAGTAGGAAAGCAAGGCTGAGAAGATCTGAATCCTGGGCAGCAGGAACAGTGAGGTTGGACAGTTAATCCCAGACCTTTGATCCCATAGATGCACTGGATCCAGGATGCTGAGCAGGTCACAAGCTCAGAGAAGCTGTTCTTGTAAGACATGACCTAGTTAAGCAGCAACTTCTATATGATCTTTATGATCTTTTTATTTTTACTCTATGCTTAAGTATTGTATTCTATATTAGGGATTCCACCTTCATACTACAGTTTCAATCACCTTAGGTCTTACTTGTTTTAAACTCTGAGCGATCACAGCAAGCTTCAAGCTGTCTTAGCATGACATCAACACAGAATTCCACAGCTGCACTAAAACAACGCTGATGTCCTCCGTAGTCCTACTGTTAGGAGGAAGGAAAAGACTCACTGTTTACCACACTGAGAATTTAAATGAAAAGCCTAGAGAAAGGAGTATGCATAAGGGAACACCCTTCTTTTCTTCACAACAGCTTCCAGGGTTTGGATTCTACTCCAAGAAAATTATAGGAGCCCATATCATGATAACGAAAAATAAGGCAGGCAAGAGGGATTCTAAAAGACTTATTCTATATAATCAGGTGCAATTTATTTTAGCCAAGCTAAGTCATTAAGCAAAATAACCTTAAGATAACTTCAATATTCACAGTACAAAGAACTATCCAGAAGGAGAACGCACACAAAACAAGGATATGACCCTCAAAACCAAGATGTCATATGTTATCATTGCTGACAAGAGAGAAAAGGGGGCAGGGGTTAACAAAACCCCACCGCATTCCACAGACAATCTCAGCAGATGCCATTAGCTCATTTCACAGAGGAGACCTCTGAGGCTTTGAGAGGTTATGCAACATAGCCACAGTCTCAAAGTCAGGAAAGGATAGCTCTGAGACCTGAACCAAGACTGATTGATGTCAGGGCCCAGGTCTTTCCCACAGGCCAATCCACTAGGTGAAAGAGAATTAAGAGTCATGGAGGACCGGACAGATAGCTCATTTAATAAAGGGCTTGCCTTACAAAGATGAGGACATGAATTCGATCCCTGGTTCTCCCACAAAATGTTGGCTGTATTGGTACTGGTATACATCTGTAGCCCCAACACTAGGAAAGTGGAACAAACAGGAGGATCCCTGGGTTCGTGACCAGCCAGTCTAGCCTAATTGGTAAGCTCAGGCCAATAGACCCTATCTCAAAGGAGGTGGATGGCATTCCTGAGGATGACACCCAAGGTTGCCCTCTGACCTCCACATGCACACGAGCCTAAGAGCCTGTACGTACATGTGCTCACATTTATACACACATGAATGCACATTACATGCACACACACAGAAAGCACATGGAGTGAGCTCAAGCATGTATGTGCATTTATACACATGAATGCACACTACAGAGAGAGAGAGAGAGAGAGAGAGAGAGAGAGTGTGTGTGTGTGTGTGTCATGGAAACCACATGGAATGCTCTCAAGCAAAATTTTCAGGGAATCCTGAAGAAAGTCAGATGCACATCAGAAGGCCTGTGCAGATGACCCAGGATGCTTTCATCTATAGAAACTTTAATAATGTGCCCCTCACTTTGATTTATGTTTCATACCCTGGTGTGTTTAAAGAAACACACCTTAGGGCCAACAGATAAAGGTGCTTGCCGTGCAAGCCTGGCGACCTGAGTTCAATCCCTGGCACCCATGTAAAGGTAGGAGGAAAACTATTCCATAGAGCTGTCCTCTGACCATCACACATCCACCATGACATGCATGACCCCTCCCACATAATACACACACATAATAATAATTTTAAAAGGAAACACCTTCTTAAAATTCTTCCAAGCACTTGTATACCTGTCCTGCATCCTCCCAACCTGCTATTGACCTTGCTCTAGCCCTCTATTTCTTGTGCTTGGGTCCCAAAACTATGTGCCAGCCACAGAAAGCCACAAAGCATTGTGGGTTTGCCCCACCAACATCCAGTTCTTCCACTGATCTTGGCTCAGTTCTAGCACCTCTCCTTTTCTTCCCTAGTTGTCTCCAGCTCCCATTCTCCAAGGCATCTGCTCAAATCTATAACCCTTTTCTCAAATCTATACAACCACCTGTAACACCTCTCAGTAGAAAAGTTAAACTTAAATGATGCACTGGACCATCCATCCACTCCCTTACAAACATTGTAACCTCCTCTACAACTCAAATCACATA